TTTTGTTTTTGACTTGCTCATGTCTTTCTACTTTTAGCTGGTAGGCGTCCACTTTCCTTGGTTCTTGATATCGAAGACTGGGTAACTCACGTCATACCTCATACTATGGGAATTCGCGACTGGGCGTCCTTTAACAAGCGGTTTGGTCCCAAGCCTTCGACTAGTGAGTCTGATTCTCATTTCCCCAACCCTTTCATTTTCGTTATAGCCTACCACCGTCTTGTCATTATTTTTTTTAACATGATTTTCTTTTTTCGCCAGGTCGGTGAGCTTCCAAGAAAGCAAAGGCTCTGATGCCCGCATTCTGCCAGGTGGTCGCTTAGCTGGAATGCAATTTGTACTGGCCGAGTCTGTACGAGAGGGTCAAACTCTAGCTCTGCCATTGGGTGATTTCGCCCCACATGCAGCCATTACGTAGGCTGAGACTTCCGATCACCGTGTTCTGCACCTAATTGACAAGTCATCTCATGATGATGAGGAGGCAGTACCGAGGAAAAGGCAGAGGGTGGAAACTAGAAGAGTTGGTGCTGTTGATACCGAGTCGAAAATGCCCATTGTTTTAGATGCGGAGGCGACATCCTTACTGGGCATTGAGGCTGCTCCCACCCCGGCTATCATCATGGAGGAAAGGCCGACGGAGCTGAAGGGACCTACGACAGAGGGAACCTGCACAAATAGCCGAGGTCAGCTCATCATCAACGTGCGGAAGGGATAAAACTATCCTCGTAGAAGATGATAGGTCGGTCTCTGATGTCGACTTTGAGGAGGTGCGGGCTTTTGAGGAGACGTTCACCCGAGTGGAGATAAGGACGGAGAGGCCTAATTGGCACATAGTCATCCCCGTAGATTATGACCTTTTGGCCAACTCGGAACGGATAGTGCTGACCTGCGCTCCTCTGTGTGCGGATTCTGAGAACAGGACGTTGCAGATGCTGAAGGATGCAGATCTGTCGTTGGGTATATCTGGCATGGCCTTGCGAGTAAGTTTGTTTTTCCCATGTTAGGTTAGTTCATTTCATATGTGTAATTTACTCCCGCTGACATGTCAACT